GTCCTGGGTCACTGGATAGTGGGTGTCCATTGCCCATTCCCAGGGTGACCGAGGTTGAGAAACTGGCCCCTCAGGTGGTCTCCAACAAGGCCGCTGGTCAACTTGTTTCTTACAAAACAGTGTGGTGGCTGGGGCCAGAAGTGGCTCTCCAAAGATAGCCTCTGTCTTTGGTGCCCCTGTTGCTTGTTCTGACTTCCTGCCCTCGCCTTAGTTTATCACACTGTCCCCTCCTCCCCTGGCTATGTTAGTCTTAGGAGTGGTAATGTTTTCACCCTATTACCCATCTCCAGGGGCACCCACATTCTGTGCTTCTTCCCTGGTCCCCATCCACACCTTGTAAGTCATCTTTTCAATGAGGCCTTTTCATGGTCATTTGACCTTTCTGGGGTGAATGTCCTTGGGTTAGTACCCTGATAGATAAACTCCACTTCCAAGCTATGTTACCTTCTCTAATTTCATTCCTTGGTGACCCCCAATTTTTCTGCTCATTCATCTTATTTCCACCTTCCTGGTGGGCTGAGTTCTCCATGTAATGAGTGAGGTGACCACGGGCAGGGCTCTGTGATGCTGTCAGCCTTGGCTTTGTCATCTGTTTAACTGAGATCAGAATCATCTGGCCTCCAGACCTCACAGGGCAATTCCAATCCCCTAAAGAAATACTGTGTGCCAGAGAGCGTGGTAAACTATAAAGCGCTGCACGAAGTGGAGCTGCCACTGCTCTTCTCATCTCCTCACATTCACGCCATGTTAGCACATCTGCTTTCAAAAGCCTCCCCCATGAATCCTTCGTGACATAGGTAGGAGGCCTGTTCATAGATTTGGAAGAGAACAGACTCCAGGAAGCATCAACTGGAGGTTGGACAAGAGACTAAATCATGGAAATTGCACCCTGAGTGCTCGCTTGGTGCATCTCTTCTGAGGGACAGAGCAATGGAGAACCCTGGTCATTGATTAGTTTAACAGACATCTATGAAGCATTTTGCATGAGATAGTGCATATAGAGCTGTATAGCCTAGTGTCTTAATCAGCTCAGGCTGCCATGACAAAAATACCACAGACTGGGTGGCTTAAAAGGCAGGCATCTATTTGCTCACAGTTCTGGAGGCTGGAAGTCCAAGATCAAGGTGCTGGCATGGTGGGTTTCTGGTGAGAGCTCTCTTCCTGGCCTGCAGACAGTTAGCTGCCTTATGGCTGTGCCCTCGCATGGCAGAGAGGAAGCTCTGCTGTCTCCTCTTATTAGGGCACGAATCCCAGCATGGGGCCCCCAGCCTCCTGACCTTATCTAAACTTAATTACTTCCTAAAGGCCCCATCTCCAAAGACCATCACATTGGGGGTTAGGACATCAACAGAAGATTTTTTGGGGGACACAATTCAGTCCATAGAACCTGTGTTATCCCATCACCTGGGAAACTTGTTAAAATACCAGTTCTTACACCCTCCCCAGAGATTTGCCTTAGTACATCTGGGGTGGGGTCAAAGATTTTGTGTTTGTCCCAGGTATGTCCAGAGCAGGTGGTCTCTGGACCACCAGGTGAGAAACACCAGGGATCACATTAAGAGCATGAGAAGTTTCAAATTCTGGCTCCAGTCCTTGCTACTCAGGTGTCTTAGCCTAGAGTACCCACCATCATCTCTGTCTCTGAGGGACTCAGTTTGTTCATCTGTAAAATGGGCATAGTAATAACACCTTGCTTTCTATGGGATTCTGTGAGGGTTAGTTTCAAATTATTGTTTAATTATTCATCATTATCAAGTACTAATGAATTTATTATTAATTATTCATTAATGTTTGCAGAGTGCCTGACAGATCTTAAATGCTTTAGATTTGCTGCAACCATCACCAACATCATCAGGTTATTTTCTGTGCCTGCCATACAGTCTCGTAATCTCTATCTTGTCCTCTTTTGGTGTCTGAAAGAAACTTCTAAGCTTGGGTCAAGAACTGGCCCATTATAATGCCAAGGGAGGAATGCGCTGCTGTCCCTAGGAATGCCCACATGTGGTAGGATGGCTTTCCCCATAGACTGTCATTTCTCTTTCTCTTAACCACCCATCAGACTGACTGGGACTGGGCCAGGTTTTGCCTCCCGTGCTGTCAATGAAGGAGCGGTTGACCTTTGTTTTCGCAATGCTCCCAGTGAGTTTCTTGCCTACGTTACCTTCATCCGTGCCTGAGACAATGGGCGCGACTGTAGCTCATCCTTCACGGAGCCACCAGATGGCGATGTTTCCCTTGTCATGGCATCGCCGCGCCTGTCTCTCCCCTGGTTTCAGCGCCCAAGCAGCCTGCTCCAGGTGTGGAAGGTCATGGTATCCCCATGGTCCACCTTTTACACATGGGGAGAGTCCCACTGCTCTCAGTAGAAATCTCATGCCCCTGTAGGCACACAGAGTTGTCCCCAGGAAGCCTTTGTAGGTGGCCAAGACACTGTTACTGACACCTTCGGTCTGCTCTTTGGAGAGCTGGGCCCAGTGGCTCTCAGGAGTCAAACACTTGCTTCTTGGACTTCAGCTGACTTTCCTTTCCCTCTTCCTTATTTAAGTGCCCCCATTAGTGGCTTTTGATAAATGAAACCCCAACGATTAGCCTTCAAACACGAATGTGAAACCATTTCCCACACTGTTTGAAGAGCGGAGGGCCCCCAATAGACCCTGAATTGCCTAAGAACAGAAGCAGACTGCAGGCAAAACCCTCTGCTTTGATACTGAGAAAGGACGCCAGGGAAGCTTTCAGCCTTCACCAGCTCAGAGGTAGCTTTCCTACAGCTTACCTGCTGCTGACATCGGCTGCAGTTTCCCTGCAGGTGTCCCCAGGTCACTCATAGCAGCAGCACAACAGTTAACATAGCATCAGCCTGTGACCTTGAGTCCAGAAATAATTATTTATTTCCTTTGTGTTCTGGGTAAATTACTTAATCACTCTGATCTGAAGTCCCCTCATCTGTAAAGTGGAGATAATAATACATACAAGTCAGGCTGTGAAATGTAAATATGGTAATAATAGGTTAAGACATTTGGAACAATGTTTGGTATACTTAATAAAAAAACTTTATCACATGACTTAGCCTTGTCAAAAGGTCCCCGGAGGAAGGAACTCATGGAAGAAATGGAGGAAAAAGAGACAAGAAGTCTGAGTGGTACCCAGAATAATGGAAATAGACATCATTTAGAGTGATGGAGTAAAGCAATGATGGTATGCTTCATGAGGACATCTGGACCAGAGCCATACTATTTGGTCCAGAGGCTGGAGCTGCTGGTCACTCAATCTAATCTTAATATTGCCGGTGAGCCATAGACGTTGACCCTGTAACGGAAAGAGTTGACTAGCTCTAAGGCGTGTGTGTGTGTGTGTGTGTGTGTTTCTTTTTCTCCTTCCTATCCTCCATTCTCTGTTCTGAAGATTCATAATCACTCATTATTCTTCATCACACTTCCTTCCTTTTTCTCATGCCATCCTCTCTGCCTAACTCGCTAAACCTTTCTGCTCTCTCAGGGAAAGCCCGGCTCCCTTGTCAAGGCCCAATTCAGGTGTCACTCTGTCCTGAAGTCTTTTCCAAGTGCCCCCCACCCACAAGTCTATCCCCTCTTCTGTAGTCCACCCCACACCCCTACAACTCCAGGAATGAGTGCCTGCCGAATTTTGTGTCGGAGTTGCCTCATCCATTTCACCCTATTCAGTCCTGGCCCTATAGCACTCAGAACGCTTAAAACTTAAATTACATGGGGATAGAAATAACATCACTAAATATATTTTTGTAAAAAATAAAACGAATCAAATATTAAATATAAGGCTCAGATTCTCTTTGACAGCCTCACATAATCCTGATCCGAACATTCATTTTTGGAATGAGATGGAGTGGACAACTACTGTTATCCGTTTGAAAGATATCCTTTCAGACTTTTTGCTATTACATTTGTTTGTGCACGTTTACTTATCTTTAGTACTCTTTACGTGCCCTGATAACACCACTTATTGCATTACTGTTGAATGTTTTGTTTCCATATCTGTCTCACCCAATAGGCTACAAGCTATTCAAGGGCGCTCACTATGTATCAATCTTTTCATCTCCGGGACCCAACACTGAGCCAGGTACACGAGGGTGTGTTTCTCTAGGTATCTGCCTAGCAAACAAGTGTGATTGAGGGTGTGCACACTGCTGTGAGGTGGGGAGAAGGAAAAGGCAGGGTGTGGANCACAGGTTCTGCCACTTAGGACTTGGACATATTTTGGGGGGCCACTGTTGAACATACCACAACAGGTGATAAGAGTCTGAATAAGGTAGGGTAGTGGGGAGGAATATATTCGAACAATATTTAGAAGATAATTGAGATTAATGCTTAGAATGATTTGATGTCCCAGACTTCACAAAAATCCAAAAGTGAGTGGGGTATAAAACAAAATCTTCCCAAGAAACTATTGAATCTGGTGAGTGTATGAAGGTCATTATAACATCTTCTTTACTTGGGTATGTGTCTGAAATTTTCCCAAATAACATTTCAAAAGATGATAATCAAGAATGCTCTACTGCCTTATGTTAATTACTTATTAATTAAATTTCAATTTGGTTAAGCAATCACGGTGTACCTGGCATTTGCTGAGTCCCATGCTGATGGATTGTGGAGTAGCCACAGATTTGTTTGTTTTTCCAGTGATATGACTTTCTTGTATTACTTGACAAATAGGCCTGAAGATTTACTTTGTGTGGAGGCACGCACGTCTGTGACAAGATTTTGTCTTAGGATAAATGCCCTTTCATCACAGGCGAACGGGAAATTCATGTCACCTTGTCCAAACCCAGAGCAGTCAAAACCTATGAGTAGCAAGGGTCTGGTTGCAAGGAAACAGTTTGTTTTTCTTAATCATCCCAGTGTCACTTACAAGTAGGAATGAACGACAGCGATCCCTTCCCGACTCTGTAAACTAACTGTCACAGGGAAAGATGAGCCTATTTAACCGCGGGAAAATGTGGAAATATTTTAATTGTCTTGTCTCCACAGCAGACGGTTGTTATCAGAGGAATGGGAGGCAGCACCGAGTGAAATATTAAATGCAGACAAGAATGGGTGAGTGTGTGTGATTCTGTCGTTTAATCCACGTGCTTTTCTCAGATCATTCTGAGTTTCATTGTAAAGTCTGGTATAAAAATGATGTCAGAAGAATGGTTTGCTGGGTTATTTAAAAGCCTGCATACACCATTTACCAGGTATGCTGTTGACAGTTAAAAACGACATGCCTATTTTTCATGGTGTCCCCCTTGACACAAATGAGGTTGCTTGAACTAGGCTGCTGTAAAAGAAGAAAGAGAAAAGTAATGGCATTCGCAATGTAACCCTGGGCTTAAGTGTGTCTTGGACTATTTTGGGAGCTCAATATTGCAATTTTCCAGAGTGGTGACCAGCTCAGGGACAGCTGAGCCTGATGTAAGCACTGCTTGATGGAGTTTCCTTGTATCCCCCAATCATTGATCTCAGTTTCTTTGCCATAATCTTCCTTTTGGGGTCCTCCTCTTTCTGACTGCTGTGTTTGGGAGCACACACCCTGGACTCAAATCCCAGCTATGCCAACTGCTAAACTTGAAACCTTCTTTAAAATGGACCCAATGATTTCTAGCTGTTTCAAAAAGCTGTTGAGAGAATTAAAAGGTATCATGCCTGTGACATACTTAGCACAATGTTGGCCCTGTGTGAATCACTCAATAAATGTTAGATATTAGTTAGTTTGGGAATAAAGAGATTTACCGGGCCTCAAAAACAGTGAGAGAAGAAAATGAAATCCATGTGCTATAGCATGGTTTGCAGACCCGCAGCAGTAGTGTCACCAATTCGGTATCACCGCCTTGGACCTGCTGAATGAACATCCGCACTTTGATGTGATCCCCGGTAATTTGTATGCACTCTAGAAAGGAGAACCGCTGGACATACTCCTGTTACAGGATATCGTGAAGGAAGGCTTCTCTGGTGCCTCAGAGCTGGAAATGTGTGCTAAGGTTCCCATCCATTTCAGAGAGCTGTCAATAGCTGGAGCTAGACACTCCTCT